CGTATTATTTTAAGTTAACCGCTTTTACTGTACTATTTACATATGATGGGCTTGGCCACTGCTAAAGCGATGATTTACGTCAATAAAACGTCGATATGAAAATGTTGCAGGAAATGAAATGCAAACATTGTAAATCAGTGTGAAAAGAGCGCGGGAAAATGGGCTTGCATTCTAAAAATACGTTGAAGTATGTTCGTTAAGCACTGGCATTTTCTTGTAAATACGTATTTCGTATTCATCGATAATGTGGATCAATCAAATTTGTTTTGCTAGAAACTAAGATGAAATAAAAAAAAACATAATACTGAAGCTATTTATAATTATGATTAGTTCAAAGTAGATGCTTCTATTTTAAACTCAATGACCAAAATAATTACTACTAGTTAAGTAATTGTGAAAATCAATGCAAAAAAACTACTTATTAAATGTAAAAATCACAAATTAATTCGTTGATAGATTTGTTTTTTTGGATTCGTGTCAACCGGTATCTGCTTTTTTTTAAATGACGAAACGAAACTCGTATAATAAAATTATTATGCAAGTATAATTCTCTTTTTTTCCCAGAAATTATATAAAGGTTGTTCGCATCGTACACGCGGTTTTTATTTCTGTGCAGCACTTTTTATCCGCTCTTGCTTTGATCAAATTGAAAAGTGGTCGCCTTTCGTTTCCTAAAGCGGTCTTTTTAAATTGCAGTAGTTTTTAATAAAAATTTATCGGGTATTTTTAGAAATGCATTGGAATTTCTAACTAATAATGTTTATGGATTTTCCAGTAAAACGCTGTAAACAAAGTTCGTCGATGCAAAGTTCTCAGAAATTGCATGGGTCTATAATCACAATGAATTTATGTAATTTCAGTCACCGTTTTCAACAATGGACTAAAACATGGTCAAGTAAACGAATCTATTGTTAGAGTATTCGAAATTTTGTAGATTTATGCTAATAGTTGTAAACAATTTGAGAAAAGTTTTATTATTAGATCTGTAATTGTTTTAACAAAATTTATCGGGAAGATGGAAATACTAATATGCAGAATGCAGTATCATAAACAGTTGGAAAGTTTGTTTTGAGTGGTGAACATAAAATTTCAAATTATATTATGAATGACGTGGGTTTCTCGCGATAATATTTATATTAATTACGATGTTATTACAGGATCGTACAGTTTGATACTGCTTTCAGCCGTTTCCTTTTTCTTCTTCATTTCGTAATTCGACTGATACTCGAAATTGCGAAATTGCCTTCGTAGCAACCTTGCCTTTATTTACACGCGTCTATTTGTCCAGGCCTTCGTCAAATTTAACGATTCTTTTGTGCACAACAAAAGTTTCATTATATTCGCACCCTCGTCTAACTTGGGCGCGCGCGTGCGACATTGACGCTAGTCAATTGCGATTTTGATCGCTCTCGAGGAAATGGGGTTGTTTTTTTTTTATAGCTGGATATATGCATCATATCGATCCGGAAGAAGCAGTCGGATATCTGCAATGCAAATTGCAATCAACGAGAGTTGATGGTCGTTTCTTTTTATTTTATTCGCGTACAAAGGAGCTCATTTAGGTCCTCTTGCTCTGGTAATTAGACGGTGATTGTCACAACGAAGCGTAACGAGATCATGGCACAATGTACCTCGTTATCTCGAAGGGGAAAATAATTTTGGCGATGAATTTTATAAATTAATATTGTTTTTCTTCGTTTGTTTGTTTTGCATTTCATAGCACACTTTTCGAACGTGTTATGTAAATATTATCCGCGCGTAATTATGGAATTCCTTCCGGCCGCGGAGATCGATTGATGTCGGTGCGACTTTTCTGTTCGTTCGTTGTTTTGTTGATTGGAAGATATATTTGGGTGCTTAAGAGTAGGTTACCTCTTTCTCCCGGTGAGGTGCTCCGGGTCTGGTGATGAGGGCCGTGCCGTTGCAGACGACGGCCGTGTCTTCGACGAAGACGCACTCCGGAAGATTTTCATCTGGCGGCAATTCGATGACGTCCAGGCCGAGCTCCCGCAGGAGGCGCACGTACGCTTCGTGCTGCTTCTTCGCCTCGTCCAGCTCGATCTCGCCTCGCGTCCTCAGCGACAGGGGAATCCTGCAGACGACGGCGTGCGTGTATCGTGGCGCCGCCATCTTATCCAAGCCCACCCAGACTGCTCTTGGTCCAACCACGGCTCAGCCAACACTGGGTGAAAGAGCGCCGACATAGACCAGCACTGCCATAGCCTTGCCTCTCCGACTGGTGGCCGAACGATCAAGGTGCAATAAGTTACATACACAACAGGCGTTACGTATCGCATCCTTCTATTTACTACTACTATTATACAACTATCCCTGATCCTACCAGTTCCGCAACACATCAACAATTATCCTTTGAACTATTCATTATTACTACTATTAATCAATCAACTTGCAACTCATAATGAAACTATTTAAATTTTCCTTGTTTTAGGAACAACAAAGTTTTCAAAACTTACTACAAGAAACACGCTATTATTCTAAGAATAGATTTTACCTTGAAATACGCTCATAATTTCATTAAAATTTCTTCTGAAATTTAGTTTCTATCTCATTTATTTTCAAATATACACAAAACTAACATTAAATTATTGTCGTTGCTGTAGTGAATCGCATTGAAACTATTAAATATAAGAAATTACACGACTTTTAAAAGTCTTCAAATAAGAGTAATATTTTTTCTGTTGCAATTCTTCGCATCAACTTGAAACCAAACTCCTCGTTTCGATAATGCAATTTTTATATAAATTAAATATATACTCAATTGTATCAAATTATTGTATGAATTTACTTTATAAAATGTTTTCTTTGAAAATTTATTAATAATAATTTAAAATTATTGCAATATTAAACTTACCTTCTTTATGCCTAAATTAGGTCTAATAATACCTTTAGTTATAACTTAAGAGTTTCGAAATTAATGTTATCAGGATTAAGATATGAACTTTTGAAAACTATTTCAGATGATAAATTTGATGAAGAAAGAACGAAATATATTTCAATTAAAATAATCTATACTTTGATTAATTAAGTCTCAATTCGATCAATTTAATAGAAATTAGAATTTGTTAAGAATGTTCTCGTCTTTAATAAGAAGATAATTAATTAGATTTATTCGTTAAGTAGACATTCATTTGTTAAATATTAATTTTTGATACTTTAAGAACATAAATAGAAATTTTTGTATATATATATAAATAACGTAGTATTAGTAGTAATTAAAAACTATTTATATAATTATATTCACAATTTTAAATTTGAAAACTGCGATAATCACGCTAGATTTCTGTTTCCTCGCAGTTGCCTTTCGTTGATCCACAGATGTCGCTTCTTTATCAAAGTTAACGCTTCATTCTTTACGCAATATATGTAGTTAGTTGTATTGATGTAATGTTTAAGAGTATTCAAATACGAATAGTTTCTATTTATTATTTTCAAAACCAAAATTAATAGCATCATCATCATTTTACAACACGATCTTCGATTATTAATATGTATATCAAATGTTTTTCGTTTGTTTTTTGTTGAATTGAGCTGCGCACCACCGTCAAGATACCATTAAGATTTTATTAAATATATTTTATACGAATCAATTTACAAAAAAAAAATAATAATAAAAAAATAAATGGAAATAATACAGGAAATGTTATATAATAAATTTGTATCGAACATCCGTGAAATTGTTGTAAATATATATATTATATATAAAAGAGAGAAAAAAACAAATGAGAATAAAATAATATAGAAATATGTTTTTGTTTTCTCGTTTTCATATATATGTTACATATAGATATACAATATGCTTAGCACGTAAACATTTTACAAATTATAAAATCCTCGTCTTTGAAATAAAAAAAACAAATACAAAATAATAATCTACACATATCCAAACGATTTGTTCCTTCTTGACTTTTCTTCCTTACAGCGCTTAGAATCCTCCGAAAAATGGAGGATTTTAGCTGCGCGCACTTTCCGGTGATGCGAATACAACAATATCTTTGCTTTCGTTTCGTGTGTGTGTGTTTTTTTGTGTGGAATGAATGCAAATTAACAGTTACATTAATTAATTAAAAGTAATAATAATAATATAATTACGTTGATAAATGCGCTACTTGGGTTATACTTGGATGTGTTTATTTGTGTGTTTTTTCTTATTGAACTTTTTTTTCAATTCGTTCATTGCTTTTTCCGTACATTATTATTAATAATAATAATAATATGAAAGAGAGATAAAGAGAGTTAAAGACTGCACTAAACATGGACAAAGGGCCAGACATTATGGCACGTAAACGCGCTCGTCCCCCAGACACAGTTCTTCTTCGTTTTCTTGTTTCGTCTTTTTCGCGTTTTCCGAGAAAGTTTATTTAGTGTACGTATCGGGTGCTATAGCTGTCCGTACCTCAGACATACATATTTTGCCTTACGTTTACAAGAAATAATAGATAAAACAATAAAATTAAGACAAACTCTATGAGAAACGAACAAATAAAAAAAAAATAGAATAATAATAATAGTATTAATAATAATAATTAAAAGGAAAAAGTGTAAAAAATAAAAAACAGAAAATAATTATTAATATATATGAAAAATAAAAATCCTAGCTAGATTTATTTATACAATAAAAAAAAAACAAATATCCTTAACTAGTAATGAATATATATATATATAGATATATATATATATAGTATGTATATATATTTTTCTTATCCTTGCAAAATGTCCTTTAAAATATCCTGTCGTAAGCTACGTAAATTATATATGTCGTTGAATAGTATGAATATACCAATGATCCAGTATGTGTGTGTTTCTTCTTTTGCTTTTCCATACAATCGTCGTCTTCATATATATATATATAAAATTGCGGTTACATAATCATATATGTTTTACGTTTACATTTATTACTTCTTAATCAATTATGTTTTTTTTTGGCGATATTTCTTATACATTTTTTCTTGAAAAATTTGGGGAAAATCACTTAAAACTAGCTTGTTTTTTTTTGCACGTTGAGAGTATAAAATGAATTTCTTCTTTTTTTTCGTGTATGTGTTTTTTAGGGGGTAGATGAAAGGGGGGTAGATGTATGTGTATGCGGGGGGGGGATGTGTGAGGATGAGGAGGATAGAGGAGATGTTTAATGTCGAAACGGCAGTGGGCCCTTCTTCAATGGATCGGACGCTGCTGCTGTCCGTCACTTCACTTTGCCTCCTTCTCCTTGTTCTCCTCCGTGTCCTTTTCCTTCTCCTTTTCCTTCTCGTCAGCCTGCAAAAAGAAATACCATGTAGATTGTGTTTTTGTTAATGTTTGTAATCGAAACGTACCTTTTCCTTCTCGATGTCCTTATCTTCGGGCTCCTTCTCTTTGTCGCCCTCCTTCTCGTCCTTGCTTCCCTCCTTGTCCTTGGTCTCTTCGGGAGCCGGTTTCGGCAGATGCGAGTTGAGGTCCAGGGTGTCGCAGATGGTATCCCAATCCTGGAAGCAGCGTTCCTTCACGCGGTTCACCAGACCCACCAGGTTGGCGCAGCTTTCCACCATGTAGTCGCGGAGCGGGTAGCTGACCTCTTTCTCGATGAAGTAGATCTGAGCCAAAGTGGAGAACGCTACCACATCCAACTGCACGACAAAACAAAGACAAAAACAATCAGTAAACTGGTTGCACGCTTGATGATGGGATGTTGCAGTCTTACGGTCGTGGGTTCATCGCCGAAGAAGAACGGCTTATCGTCCAGCATCTCGGAGAGGACCTTCAGGTCGGACTTTCCGAACTCGTTGATCTCCTCGGCAGTGTGCACACCGATGCCCTGAGCCTTCACTTTCTTCGCGCCCTGTAACCACTAAATAAGTCAATATCTAATTAAATAACGAAAACGTAACGAAAAAGAACTAAATAACATGCATAAATTAAAAACGAAACCGTAACACCCAATTAAAAACAAGTATCATAAAAAGAAATGGAAAGATATGATGTTGTTTTAAATGAAATTATGTTGGCCTTACCTTGCGACCGAAAGCGAACTTGAACAAGAAGTTGAGGATTCCGTTCGGTATTCTCGTTCCAAGGGCGTGCTGCAGGTTGACTTTGTAACCTTTGAGCACCTGATCGGGGTACTTGGTGCGCCACCAGAAGATGATCCAGACGAGGTGATTCTCGATCATAGAGATCATGGCGTGCGCGACGTTGCGCTGTTCAGGCGTGAGGAACGCGTCCAAGTCCTTGTCAAAGTGCTTGGAGAGTTCCTTCACGATGAACGCGCTGTCGGCGATCTCTTCACCGTTGAACTCGACGAAGGGCAGCTGACCTTTCTTGGAGCGGTACTTCATCTTGTGGTCGACATTCTGCAGAAAACAACAAAAATACAACAATTAATATTTATCGTTTCGAATTCGATTCATTTGCTTTCGCATCAATCATCGTTAACAGCAATCACGAATTATCATTTCGAGCGCATTATCATTATTCGTTTATATATATAAGTATATGGAAGGGTGGATGATGATTTATTGTTTGCTCGAATTAGATTGTTTTCTCTATTCTCCTTCCAAGAAATTAATGCTGGGGTTGCGACTATCGTCGGAAATAAAAAAAAATATAGGGAACCGACACGTGTCTGCATGGTGTGTGTGATGAATGAGGAGGGTTGGTCACGATAAAGAGACAGAAGAAAAAAAAAAGAACTGTATGCAGCCAAGGGTAGATAATGCGCGGAGGGTGAACCACCCCAACTAGTTTCATTATTACAGTTGTATTTATTTTTCTCATACTGCATTCATTCGAAACGAAAAGTTTCATGGCTTTCTGCATCAAGCATCTCTTTTTAATCTATATTAACTTAATTTATTATAGAGAATGTTGAACGTGCGCAAGAGAGAAGCACTTAATTTGTTGTTTACTAATGATGAACTCGTTTTGTTTGCGAGCAGCGCTGAAATTCGATGATGGGAATTGTTGAAATTTTTGTTTAGAGAAAAATGGGTAACGTAATCTGGTTATGAAACGCAAGATGATGATGATGATGTGCTCGTCAAGCGCATTTCGACTGCATCAGCAGCTGAGAATCTTCTCTTCTCTACTTTTTTTTTTGTGTGTATAGTTGTATCTCTTCTCTTCTGCTGCTTCTTCAGCCCCTCTCTCATCGCATGGTTCTGACATACATTCCACGCGTTTTGTTTAATTCACAAGGCATAGGATAAAGTAATTAATAACAAACGGCGCGTAATGTCAACCCAAATTAATGACATCATTCCCTGGACCATCTGTTTCCTATTCGAGTATCTCTTCTTTTACTTCTTCAGTTCACTTCTAGATAGACGAAAACTAGGAAAACGTTACATCTAGTTTATGTTTTATATAAAACATAATCAAGTAAATTTGTAAATATGCAAGATTTTATTAAAAACCAAGCCCTATTAATGTAACGAATTATACATAACCAGTATTAATAAAAATGAAATGAAATTGTTTGTTAATCATAAATCTACGTAAATTAATATTGAATAGTTGATTTACAATGTAATTTCCTTCTCTGATGAAGAAAAATGTACACTATATTGAACAGGCAAAAAAAATGGTGGTACGCCTCTGGGATGAAGATATGCTCTTGTTTAGACTGCGATGGAAAAGAAAAGCAAACTGAAAATCCGTCTTCACGATATATTATTAATAAAGTGAGCATCCTTTTTCCGTTAGTTATGTCTGCAGAGGAGGAGGGTAGGTGGATGTAGTAGATGCGTTTCCCATTTTTGGCACCCCTGGCATACATTTTCTAAAATCAATACAATTCTCTCTCTCTGGTGTATCCTATTCTGGGTTGGGCTCGGCCTTTTTCAAACCCCCGATGTGCGTCTGTCCCGTAACCATAGTTACCAATTTATCCCCAACCTCTCTCTCTCTCGCACACACATCACCCACCCACAGCCTGCTCCATTTTCGCCCTTTATCCCAAAAGGGATCTTAACACAGTACAGCACAAAAGCTCCGTGTCCCACTCATGTACACCATTCCGAATGGTCTTAATAAACGAGAAAATCCGTTACAAAATTAAAGAATCTTCAACAGATGGCCGGATCAATCTTCATCTAGCCCTCGCTTCTCTCTCTCTCGCCCTCTTCTCTATAAATACGTCCGACCACTCGACATTTTTTTTATTCCCGCTTTGATCACTTCAATCTAAATGGAACATCGTCTTTTTCTCTTTCTCTCCACATCCATGCATCTTCTTCATCTTACGATACAAAATATTTAACTATAAATAAGCGTTTTTCTTGAAATCAACTATTAACACTTTGCTGCGGTCTCGAATCTATAGAACCTCTTGAATTTCCAGTTATTCAATTCAAAAAGTTCTCGGAATAAATTGAGTGCCTTCTCCCTCGCATTCTTAATTTAATTATTACATTTTATATCCATTATGTTTAGTCTCCAAATAAGTTCATCGTCTAACAATTTCTTTTAGTATTATATAAAATGTCGTCAATTTATTTTGAAGTTTCAAAGTAAAGTTTACGCTCTTTGTGGGTAGCAGATATTATTGGATTTCATTTTGGAGGATGGAAGCTGTTATTAGTGATGCGAAAGGATCTCTCGAGACTGCTGTGCAACGCTATAAGTTCCTTCTGAAGTTTGCGCTTGACGCAAGAGGAATTGAAGCGAAATGATGAACGCCCTCTAAGTGCACGGAGGAAAGAAAGTAGTAACAAGAACGAAACATACAAATACAACAAAACAAAAAGTTGGAAGAGAAGAAGGCAAGATGTTTACTTAACGAGTGTACACGTAAAAGCAATCATGTTCAACATCACTCCGGAGTACACGCATCTCTCTAATGACAGTGACTGACTGTTCGTTTCTCGTTGCTTACGCAATCTCATCCTGCACAAATATATACGCTTCGGGGTGAAATTAAAGTTTAATTTCACATTAATTTAGCGAACATTGTATTTGCGATAATGTAAACAGGATTCGTAGATGCAAATAATTTATATCGGGGTTGTGGGGAGGGTTTATTTTTTTAATTTCTGTGCCTCCCCAGATGTGACCTAAGCGTCAAAAGCACAGGATGGAGGGAGGCAAGGGTGCGCCCTTATCTTGGGTGCAGCTGTCGCCCGGGTAACGGAAACAGTAGATCACGAAATTAAACAACTTCGTCGTTATGACAATCATTTTGAGGATATAAATTATGAGAGGGACGTTGACCGAAAGTTCGCCACTATATTTGTTTTCTAATGAATAAATGAATATTTAATAAAAAAAAGGTTATTCGGAGAACATTCCGATGCAATTGCGAATAACCACCCCCGCGTCTCTTAGGTAATCAAAGAGGTGAAGATAAAATGAAAATAAAGTTTGAAAAGTATCAGGTATGTGAGGTTTCGCGCTTTCGAATCTGGCGAAATTTACGACCTCTCTCGCGTGAAAGAGAAGCCCGTGGGTTGTTTGGCGACCGCGCGCCATGGGTGTGGGTCTTTTTCAAACCGTGCGGCGTGTGGTGATCGAGCGGAGGAGTTGAAACTGCAATTGTCAATCCCTTTTGGTTTCCTGTGTGCAGACACATATACATGCAGATGCATATGTACAACGCCCGTCGTGGTCCGAAGGGGAACGACCTCGACCCAGGCCATTTAATTATATCTTCTGCTCGCCTCGCACCACACACACATACACATGCATACACCGCATAGCACAAATTGCCATTCTAATTACGAATTAACCGCCCTCGACGCAATGCTTCAGACCCCAAAAAAAAAATAGGTGAACTCAACACCGTATACAGGAAGAAGAACGAAAGAGAAATGGAAAGAAACGTAATTGGGTTCTCTTCGTACGAATCTCTTCCCCGATTTTCCCATGCCATTATAATAATAGGTTTTCCGGTTACATAATAGAAAAAAAAACGATTACTTCTTATTTCGGGTTTGGAGATATACACATTTTAATCGTGTTATTATAAATCGATCCTTTTAAGCTATCTCATTAGATCCACGACACTCTCAATCAATAACTGTACTATAATTAATAATCCTTATTTCCTTTTCAATAGCATCGTCGCTAAGATAATTGGCAGTTTTCTTGTTTTTTGTTGTTGTTGTTGTCAAAGGTTACGATGGTGATGTTGTCGTTTGGGTGGTAATTATGATGATGATGAGGTGGTTGTAGATGTGTATGCGTGCATGCATGCGACCTCCCTCTTCCATTTCGGACGGAATAGTTGTTTAATAATACAGTGGGCAGACGCATTTGGGGAAATTACGTGAGCACGCGATGGGATTGCGTTGTGGACAGAAAGAGAGAAGAAGTAGAGAGACAGACAGAAAGAGTGCCCTAAGGGTTGACGAACAAAAGGGTGGCGTAGTTGAAGAACGAAGGGGCGACACCTCGGCGCCGATTCTACGACATGCTTATTCCTCTTCAGCAACTTTTGTTCCCTGCGCGAATGGAGGAGAAGGAAGGAAAAAAAAAACAATAACCGCAGATTCGTACGCGACCGCACGGAACATTCTCTTCTAGCGTGCGCATTTTATATAAATAGAAGAAGTTACTCTGCGGAGGAGGAAAGACAGAGTCATTGAACATGATACGAATCGAGAAACGTATCGACAAATTGCAGCGCGAGACGCGAGTTTTAGGAATCTGGAGGACGTTCGTGTGTCGATCGAAGGATCGTTTGGTTGAAGAAGTGTGGCGATTAGAATACGGATCGTAACGGTGTCACGTACTATTCTATCATCCTCTAACAGTGGCGGAAGGAAGTCCCTGCTTTGCAGCAATGTTCGTTGCATTTTAAAATTCCTTTCCAAATTGCATTTATCAATTTAAAAACGTCCACCGCTTGATCGAAATCTTGTATCTTTACTTTACAAGATGTTCTTTTTATTCATATTATTGGCCAATGATGCAAGATTAATGAGCCGTGAATTTAAGTTGGGGAAATCGAGAAACCGTTAGAAATTAAACGTGCACTTTTAATTGCATTACGCTTCTTTTTTTTTCATCCAATTAATCGCATTTAAAGCTAAACTTCATTTATTATCCAGGATAATCCCGAATAAACCGAAATGCAAATTTTGAGATAAGGGGGAAGAATTATGTTTTTGATGACTTCATCCCATCGTTATTTAGCAGTAATCCGGAAGCTTACTTAAGGATTTAATGATTGTGAATCATTCAGTATTCATTGAATAGATGCTTCTTTTCTATTACAATGGAATCAATTGAAACTATAACATGATTCATAGTTTTACTTTATTGTTAACAACTAAATTCTTTATTTAATACTTTTGTTTAATATTGAATGTAATAACTTTTGTAAATTTGATGTTTTTTTTTATTAATTAATTAA